TCATCGGGAATTTCAACGCAAAGTTTGGACCAAGAAGAATGCCTGAAGAACGTCACATTGGGACCAACGGATTAGAATGGAACGAACGAGATGAGCGGCTTTTCTGAGTTTATCATGACGACAAAGACCATCCATGGTAACAAGCAATTCAAGAAGCACCACCCTCAACGCCGGACGTAGTAGGCTCCCAATGGAGAGTGGCATAACGAAGTAGACCACATTAGTAAACCGAAGGTTTTGCCTAATCGATGTCACTGTTGTCCCAAAATCCTACACGGGATCAGACCACCGCCTCCTTCGTGCAAGATTCCATTTCTCACAGAAAGCAGAAAATTCCGCTAAGCTCAAAAAACGAAGTTCCAAATCACTATAAATTGGGACTTATTCAACTCATTAGTCGGCTGCTGGGAAGATGCCGTTGCCGATAACACCAACGAAGAATACGATCGGCTCATTTAGCACCATCTTCACGTTAGCGCTATGAAAGCTGAGAGTTCGAAAGCCACCAAGAGACGTCTGTCTCCAGAAACACTCGAGCTAATACACCAGCGTGGAAGTGTACGAGTTGCAGGCAACCGCGAACTAATATCCGACTTTGCAAAACAATGCAGGCAGGCGATAAAAGAAGACCTTAGAGAGAGAAGAGCTGCAGTAATGGCCGAAGCTGCAGAAGCTGGGAAGAGCATTCGTAAAGCTCATTGCGCTTCGCCATTTACAAGACCAAGATGATTGCACTCCAACGCGCAGACGGAAGAGTTACAGCATCCAGAAAGGCGATGGAGATAATCGCTCAAAAGTGCTACTTAGTTCTCTTCGATAGCCACGTCCACCTCTGGTCATATGAAGTAAAGGAGGATGAATATGTTGTATCACCGATTCTCGCTTCCGAAATCTGACATGCCATTTCGTCGGTTAAAAATCGTACAGCACCAGGTCCGGATAGGATAAGCCAAGAACACCTGAAGAATCTCCATCCAGTCCTCGTAAATACAGTGTCTCGGCTCTTCACACGTTGCCTGTCTGAATGCAAGGTCCTTACTCAGTGAAAGACCAACATGACCGCGTTATTGTTGAAGAATCGTGTCCTGCACGGTATCGGCAACTATCGCCTATTCTGCTTGCTGTCTATCGTCTACAAACTTTTCACTCGAGTCAACCTAAACAGGATCGTTAGAACACTGGACGAAAGGCAGCACTGTGAGCAAGCGGAGCTTCAGAAAGGATTTAGTAAAGATTGACCACACCTACACGATAACAAGACTCATTGGAGTATCAGGAGTGTACAAAGGACTGATTTGTCCCACTTTCACCGACTTAAAGAAGGCTTCTGACTCAGTTGAAATAGAAGGAGTCATAGAATCCCTGAAGAATCAGGGAGTCCTTAGCATGAAAATTCTCCGTGAGTTGTACAAAGATTTCACAACCAAGATATTACCATTCCACATCGATATTAACATCGACGTCAGAAGAGGGCAAGGCGATACCATCTTGTCAAAATGCTTTACCGCCACCGTCGAGAACGTCATACGAACTTGGAGTGGGACAACATGGGACTGAAAATCGATGGTCAGCAGTTGCACCATCTTCACTGTGCTGATGACACCGTCCTTATAACACCAAGCCGAGCGAATGCTGGCCCAGTTTGATAAAGCCTGTAGAAAGATTGGTCTTCAACTAGATCTCACAAAAAAGATGTTTACAAGAAACGGATTCGTTTATTATGCCCTATTCACTCTCAACGGAACGAATATCTCCGAATGCTCCAGTTATATCTTGGTGGGTTAATCAATATGATGAGCGACTTAGTTCCATAGTTAAGCAGAAGAAAACGAGCGGCTTGGAGAGCTTTCAAGAGCATAGAAGAAGTAGTGAGGAGAATAAAGAGCACCCAACTCCGTGCTCACCTTCTAGACTCAGTGGTACTTCCTCCGTTAAACTCATGCGTCAGAAACCTGGTAGCTGCGCAAACAGGATGAAGAATCACTCAGCGTTATTGAATGGACAGTCAAAAGGGCGATGCTAGGAATATCCCTTGTCACGCAAATAAGGGAAAAGATCCGAAGCTCCGGCCTGCGTCAACGATCAAAAATCAAAGATGCCATTCTGTTCGCCAAACAGTCGAAGATAAGGTGGGCCGGACACGTATTGCGTATGAACGATAGCCGATGCACAAGAACCGTTAGTGGCTGGATTCCTCGTGGTGTTAAACGCACTGCAGGAAGACCACCGACCCGATGGTCAGAGTTTTTCACGAAAAGCCGAGAAGAAAGATACGATGCTCGACGAGTCCCTAGAGTGAGCAAAACCCACTGGGCTACTCTTGCCTGCGACAGGGAAAAATGGAAGATTTACTACAATAGTAAATATTGAGAAAAACCAGTACTAGATATAGAAGGACAGACTTTGTGCTTTAAAATTGTATATTAAACATTTGTAAAAAAAAATCGTACATTTCGTATGTACCAGCCTAATACCTTGACTGACACTTTTTTATAAAAAAAACAAGCTAGGTCGTGTTCACAAAAGGCAAACGTGCACTCACTTATTACCACTTTGATATATTTGTGTCGTAGCTCATTACGTAGAACTGATGACTTTGATATAACCTGAATCACGCTACGGTTATCGGAGTCAATAAAGAGACGTAAGGTAAAGGCTCATTGATAAAGGAGCGTAACAAATACGCTTGCAGAATCTCTTTAATGTGCAGCAAGATTAGGGTGACACAACACAGTGACTAATTCCATTTGCAAAATCTTCGATTTAAAGAAATATGATGAGGAATTAAATCCCATGGGTAAAAAGAGTTTCGTACTAATTACATTACTAGTCGTCTTAATACACGCGATTCTCTTTTAGGATGTGGAAAAAAAGATTTATTCTAAAAAAAACCAACTTGCATGCTCCGTATGGAAAAGATTCAAGCAATCGTAGGGAGATAAGTATGGTTGCGATATTTCCCAGGTGTTATGGTGGTAAACACGTTACGGCATTCATTGGTCCAAGGAGTATTGGGATAATTGAGAGCGATTCTTAAATTTTGTAAAATTTTCATAGCGCTCTTCATGGTCTGATTTGTTAAAGGCTGACAACAAGACAATCAATGTCTTGGTTCACTTATAAGCTTAGCAAGTCATAGGCGAACCTATCAATCTAATAGTATGCCTTTTTAGTATCGTATGAGAGAGAATTGGATCTTACACCCGAACTTTAATAACACATTAATGGACATGTCTCTACCAATTGCAACTGTGTTTCCTGAATGAGCATTAGTCGCCACTTTTATCTGGACAAAGTTACAATTTGGCATCTTTTAATCGTGTGCTCCTTTTTCAGAACCTAAATGCCTTTGTAAACAAAGGATTAGCAGCTCTCCAAATGGCGTCAAGAAGCGATGGTGTAGTGTACCGAGCAGTTACTATGAAGTTTCACTATCTCAATCACTCAATATTGGTACCATCTTTTGCCCATGCGTCCAGCTAAGTAAATGCCACAAACATTACCTTCTTCAATTTTTCCTTACTTGCTCCATAATATTAAAGAACAATAAAAGATTAGACAGCTTGTAGACCCATGGCCAGTTGCCTTTCTCGGCGTCGTTTCTCAAAGTTCGCATCTCCGGAAAGCCAGTAATCCATAGTCCAGCCCAGTTATTTTCTAATTCTATATCCCCTCAGGCAGCTTCTTATAGAAAGCACCATGATATCACTACCATTTCTGATCAATGCGCCTAGCAGTTTCTCTCCAATTCCTCCCTTCTCAGAAAATTCAAAAAATTTTTTATATTCTTTTCACACATATTTTATTAGTTGCTGAGCGAGAAGAAAATATTACCGCTGGCTTATTGCACATGTTGAAATCAAATAGACAACGCATCAGTAGAGTAACTGGATATTTTGCTATCTGGCCACAATCCAAAAAGAAGCAACCATAGCTTCTGGAAATTTGCAGCCTTACTTCAAATTTAAGAAGCTTCCCACTATAACCATTGAAACAACAGAAAAGAATAAAGCTGTTTGATGGCATGAAAAAATCTTAACTGTTGAACAGGAGAAAAACACTTTATACGGAATAAGAATAATGACGAAAATTGATTCAACCGGTAGGTTTCAGTCTGAAGGAAGGGAAGTGGACATGGCCATATTTCCCCAACAACAAATAAAATGATGGAATTTTAGATCGTTTTTAAGGGACTGAGAAAGATATTTTTGATGGCTCGGTTTTTTCTCTAAGAATCACGCGCGCATGATGAGGAGCTGAAGGGAGTTGTAAAGTAGTGGGACCCCAAAGCGATATTTCGCTCTGATCGGAGATCCGCCGCATTACAAGTGAATAGAATTTATTCAGCTCTCAAGGTGCAGTAATGCAAGATGGTTAAAAGCATATTATTATAAGAACAGCCGAACTAAGTCTGATTTATCTGTGTTTTGGGTGAAACACAAAGAACTAAAAACGTAAAATCAAGTATGAAAAACATTTTCATTCTTTCTATAGCCTACATTACTCCAATTTGGTTTGTCAGGCTTAAAAACGGATTTCAGAGCAAGCATTCGCTATAGCCTCGACTGCCATTTTCGGCAATGTGTTGTTGTAAAGCTGAAAGGGCATATTATGGTGCACTGCAACTGCATGTCGCAGTCCGAGAGGTTCTTTTGAAGCTATTCCAGTTACCTTTCACCCTGACGTGTGATTTAAAGAGGAGTGTTTACAAAGTTTGAACAGGCATCGTACTTTTTGGAGCTCTTGTGGCTTCTTTTACACCATCGGTTTCTTTTGATCACTAAACCTCGGCGAGGCTAAATGTTGGGTATGTATTGTTTCTGTGAACTAGATAACAGCACTGGGACTTCAGGTGTGAATGTAATGTTGAGAAACCGTTGCAGAAGGGATTTTTTTCGCGTCTTCTAATGAAGTGACGAACCAATAATTGGAAGCAAATAGGCAGCATAGGGCTGAGAGGGTCTCTGCCATCGCGCTGGATGAACGACACATGTTCGACCATGCGGCCAGCACCTGCCCGCACAACTCGTCTGGAAAAGAACCAGGACGTGCGCCGTACCACTATTATGGCGGCGCTGCCATTGGCCTTTCTCGCCATCTCAGCCTTCTTGCTTTTAATCTACGTGTCCAAACTTAAATATTCACGATTCCTTCTCATACGATGCGAAATCATCCATGTTCTTGTATTCATTCTGTGTTCTTATTTCTACATTCGCTGGCTACTTTCAAGACTGATGCCACGAATTCGTGGATTCAATCTCATGTGCTGCGATCTCAGCCAACACTTAAAATTCAGTCCTCCTGAATTTATCGACAAAGGATTTTCTGATCTCACTAAATATGGTAACATCTAATCTTATTAACTAATCATTCGTAATGAATTATTTGGCAAAGATACAAACACTTGAATACTGAAATTTTGAACAAATTTGAAGAAAATCGATGACTACTCTGCTCTGAATAAAGAATGGAGCATATTTATTAATAGTTCTCAGATGAATACAGTATGAGATACACTCCTCAGAACTTTTGAGCAAAACGCAAAAGATTGCAGTGTATTTGTTATTAGTCAAAGAGTCTCTGGGAGCCTGTACTAAAGGCCCACTGTAAGCGTTTTCTAAAGACCTCTCTCGACGAGATTGATGTAAGACATGAAACCTTCTTTAAATCAATACAAATGAAATCTAGCTATTTTTAGAACAGTACTGGAAAATGAAGCACAAAATCTTTTCCTACTGTGCTACACAGGGTTATCGACCGTACATGGAAGATCGAATGCATTACATGTATGATCCCAACAACAATCTATCTATATTTGGAATCTTCGACGGTCATGGAGGACTAGTGAGTATATGCTTTGTACTTTTAATTTCAATTATTTTGTAAACCTCTTTCAGTCTCGCATTTGCTACCTGTTTTCTGAGCTTGGAGTGTCATTTTCATAAGCTGGATACAGTGCGTAAAGTGGTTATAAAGAACTATTAGGAAGTTTTGTTACTTGCTGAAGACGTTTTTTTAGAGGAAGTAGGGTGAAAACATGCCGGTTGCATTACAACCTATGAAAGTTGAGGTCTTCAAACCCTCAGTAAAATTTACACAAGATTAGGCCGAAAAGAAAAATGGGATTAGTGTTTGCAAAGCTACTTAATTCTTTGCCGAGTGCCAACAGCAGGCGGCTATCCATCTTCCTTGTTTACTGCAGTATGTCTCCGATTTTCTGGAGTCAAACTTCGCTAAATCGATCCGAGAACGACTTCTGAGGTTTGGAACAAGGCGAAAGCTCAGTATTGACGGCCTGTTAAACGTAAAGGATCCAGTCGAAGAGGTAGGGGAACCCATAACATTTCATTTTTCTCTATCTCACTTTTTCACTTTTTCCGCTTTTCTATTTACTTTACCGACCTTAGATATCCAAATGAACAATCTTCTGTGATTCCCACTCTACGCTCTAAAAATCCCAAGAAGAAAAAAATAGTCTAGCGAATTTAAATCGAAATTTCAAGAGACCATCGGTCTTCAAAGTTTCCTGGCATAATATCCTGAAATTGTGCCTCTAGTCACGACTCCATATTGGTTCGGCTCCATGGTGGGGCGACTATTCTTGTTATAAAAAAACCATTTTGGGATTTTCTGTGTTCACAAGAGGAGTGCTTTCCTGAGAACCCCGCAATTTTTTGCTTAAGCCTTGGTTTTGGTTTTTCTAACTATGAAGACATTAAGCGTTTCTTCCATCTCTAGTAATTCTTCTCCAAACAATAGTGCTTTGTGGAACAATTATTTCGTGATAACTTCTCTTCTTCTATATTATAGCATCCGATAGCCCTCTAACTGTTTGCTAAGCCTTCAATATCTTTGGAGTCAAAGCTACTCTTTGAAGTTGAAAATATGAGGAGCTGTGATATTCAAGGCTTTTAATAATTCCATTAAAACACATGCTATCATTTTTATCATTTTCGTTCCTGACATTATAATTTCACGGAATCGCCTACTGTACACCGTAAATTTTAATAATAATTTAATAATTTTAATGGGCAAATTCAAATAGCACCACAGAAATTTTAAGCGATTGAAGAAAAAACCCGACGATAAAACTATGTCGAACTCTCACCTCTCCAAGCACATTAACTGAAATGCAAGCAGTAGTCCATGAAAAATAAACGTTTTTCAAAAGGTTGCCACAAAAAATTAGTTTTCTTCGCCATCGTATAAATAGTCTTTGAGACAACTGTACATAGAGAGAGCTTTAAGCCCTGCAATCATTGCAACGAATTCTCTGTGCTTTCCTCTTTCATAGCTTCTTGAGCGAAAGCAGTTAGTTTTCAAATGTCGTTCGGGAAAATCTGAGTCTTAGAGGAAATATGTGGTACTTCAAGCTCATTTCTAAACTCCTGCGGCCTTTTGGGACTCTCCTAACACTTCCGCTGCTAACTGGCTTCATATTACCACAGGCAAAAAAAAATTCAGGATGCCGAATTTTGTAATTAAGGCAATGAGAACAGTTTCTTTAGATGTTAGTGACTGAGGTGCATCGACTGGACGATGTGCTTTCTCGAATTGATCCCAACTGTACCTCACTCACTGGTTCGTTTTTTTTACTGCTCTTTTAATGTTTTCTTCTAAACTGCTTAGAATTTGTAGAAACTTCTTGTGTCCTGCAAAGACTTTATTGGCGTAGAAGTTAGCTGGCGGTTCCAATGATTAGGGTCAAAGCTAACTAAAATTTTACAACTTTTGTATTAATGGGCAGAGAATAATAAAGTGGTCTAATTTTCTGCCTCGCCTTAGCAGTTTTTCCTGTCGTAACTTGGATCACTCTGTAGATGAAATTTCATTAAAGATGAATCAGAGGAATGTTACCATTTCTACGTTACTGCGATCCGATCATGCAGCTTTCACAGCATATCCCCTCACGAAGCGTGTATGCTAGCTCGGAAATAAGGCTGAAATCTTTTAGTAATAGTTTTCAAGTTTTATAGCTTATCTTTCATGTTTCCTTTTCAACAAGCAGTGAGACATTCGCCCATGGTCAATGCTTTGCACTTAACTTCCAAACCTGCAATGTTTTTCCCAATCAAAGATTTTCGAAATTGATTGTACGCTGGTAAAGTTTTGGAAAAATGACTATTCACGTTCATTTATAAGTGATTTCTATCTGTATCGCTATGGCATCACACTAGAGAAACTTCAACCCAGCCCAATCATCTGCCGTGAATCCATTGACACGAAAAAGTTTTCAAGGTATTTCAGGCTCGACAATGATTGCTGCGATTATGGAGAATAATCGTCATCTAAGTGTGATAAATGTGGGAGATTCGCGAGCAGTAGCTTGCGATTTGCAGAATCGAGTTGTGCCTCTTAGTAAGGACCACAAACCCGATGACGTGAGTGCTTTCTGTCCCATATTGGACTACAGCAGCACTTTTTTTTATCAATTCCATTCTCTACATAATAATGGTAAAAAAAACACGCACAATGGAAAATTTCGTGGTAGGCGGAGGTCAACCATAATTACAAAAATTTTCATGCAAACCATAAGAAAATTGAGCTGCATGAAGTGATTCAGTATCGATCAATCGTGAACCACCTGTTGTATATGTCACCTGTATCATCCGTAGTCCGCTGACCGACGAGTGACTCGAGCGGGCGCCAGTAAACCTTCCATTTTTCCCTGTCATGTGCGAGAGTGGCCAAGTAGGTTCTGATTGCTCTAAAGACTCGATGAGCACTATACCTTTCTTGTAGAATTTTCGTGAAGAGCTCTGACCATCGGCTGCGGTCTTCCTGCAGTTGCTTTGGCATTCTGAGGAACCCACTCTATAGCAGCCCTTGTTCATCAGTTGTCATTTATACAAATTATGCCTCTGGTATACATTATCTTAAAGTGTTTGGCGTACAGAGAGGCATTTTTGATTTTTGATTGTTGACGCAGGTTGGAGACCCGGAACACCGCTTATTTGTGTGACACGGAATACTCCTAGCATCGTCCTTTAGACCGCGCTTTCAAAATCTTTGACTTTCGTCCTGCTTACGTATCAACAAGGTTTTTGACGCGTTCTTTTAGGCAGGAAGAACCGTTAAGTCAAAAAGGTAGGCACGGAATCGGGTGTTCTTTGTTCTCTTCACTGCATCCTCGATGCTCTTGAAAGCTCCACGAGACGCTCGTTTCCGCCTGCTTAACTCTAGAGCTAAGTTGTTCATCACGATGATTTCCCCAACCTAGGTAGACGTAACTGCAAGCATTCGTAGAGATTCATTACTTTGAGTGTGAACAGAGCGTACATAACCAATCCGTTCCTCATGAATACCGTTTTTGTGGGATTTTTAAAAACACTATTTTTTCCAAAGGCTTTATCAAAGTCGGCAACCATTTGTTCCGCTTGGCTAATGCCCGGTGTTACGAGAACGATGTCATCAGCAAAGCGAAGATGGTGTAATTACCGACCATCGATTCCCGCTTCATATTATCGCACTCCATTGTTGGTAAGACGTTTTCCAGAGTGGCGGCAAACAATTTATAGCGAGATGGTATCGCCTTGTCTAACTCCTCTTTTGACGTTAATGTTAATATCGTTATAGAATAATGATATCTTGGTTGTGAAATTTTTGTACAGCTCACGAAGAATCTTTATGTACTGCGTAGGGACTCCTTCACTATCAAGGGCTTACATGACCGCTTCTATCTCACTCGAATGAAAGGCTTTCTGCAAGTCGATGAAAGTGAGTGGTAGTTGCCGATATCGTGTAGGTCACCGTTCTTGAACAATAACACGGTCTTGCTGGTCTTCCACTGAGTACTGCCTTGCATTCGGACAGGCAACGTGTGAAGAGCCGAGCCACAGTATTTACGAGGACTGGAGGGAGATTCTTCAGGTGTTCTTGGCTTATCCTATCCGGACCTGGTGCTGTTCGATTTTTAACCGACGAAATGGCATGTCAGATTTCGGAAGCGAGAATCGGTGGTACAACATATCCATCCTCCTTTACTTCATATGACGAGAGGTGGACGTGGCTATCGAAAAGACCCGAGTACTATTCGTGAATGATTTTTTCCATTGCCTTTCTGGACGCTGTAACTGTTCCGTCTGGGAGCCGGAGAGCAATCATCTTGGTCTTGTAAATGGTGAAGCATCAGTGGGCTTTGCTAATGCTTTTCCTAGCCTCTGCAGCTTCGACCATTATTGCTACTCTCCTTTTTTTAAAATCCTTTTTTATCGCCTGTCTGCATTGTTTTGTACGTTCGGACGTTAGTTCGCAGTTGCCTGCAGCTCGTGCGATTCCACGCTGGGGTAGCAGTTCGATTGTTTATGGAGAAAAACAACTCTTGGTGCTAACGTGAAGATGTTGAATGAGGTGATAGTAATCCTCGTCGATGTTATCGAGAACGGCGTCCTTCCTACACCCGACTAGTGAATTCAATAAATCCCAGTTCATGGTGGTTTTGAGAGAAAGACAGGAAGCGGAATGTGCGAGAAACATTGTGACGGATAAATGCCAGGAAAACAAATCGAATGCAAGAAGTGCTAAGATCAGCGGACTAAATGTATTGACAGTTCATGTAAAATCAAATTAAGAAGTTGAGTTTAGTGGGGTCTTAGCTTTTTTCTTACCTGATTATATGTACTTATTCTGTAGCTCCCACGGATCTCATTCATATGAGGGATCTCGAACCGGTTAGCCGCGAAGCTACGTGGCGCGTTCCCCGGTGGCGGATAGGGGGTTAATCGCGAACCAAAAGCGACTTTTGCTTTCTTGAGACGCAGGTGGATCCAATGGATGGACTCCCTGTTTTTGCTGCTCTGATTTGGCACATACTTTCTGTATTCGCCAGGCGTATTCATGCATGCGTGTGTGGGTGCGTTCTCGCTCATGCGGAATGTACCCCACGAGTCAATTCGGCCAAAAGCCTGCAATCAAGTGGCAGGGAAGTATATAGGAGGCGGTTAGGATTCGTCTCCAACAAACGAGCTCCATGTCCACTCTGAGAGAACCGGGCAAGCTACCCGTCAATATATGCAACCCCCACTTCAGTGCCCAGCTAGCTAGCTATACGTGGGTATCAAAATGCTAAACACAATTTTAACTTATCATTTGCTGCCTCCGCTTTTTAACGGCATGGTATATATTGCAAAATAAAGCTTTAATGATGCTGAGATATTTGCAAAACTCCGGACCGCAGGTGTCTAGGGTGGGAAACGAACGCGCTATTGCCCTCTCCTGGCAGTAACGCGTTAACCACCACACAATGTGGGTCCTTCGTTTCGCCTGTCTCTCAGGTAGTTCTATTGATCTTTTGCTATCAGCAGTCACCCGTCAGCGGGATTGATCTGAGGACCTAAATCGGCAACGAATCCAGTTAAGCTGAGGCAGAGAGACAGGCGAAACGAAGGACTTGAATGGTGTGGTGGTTAACGCGTTACTGCCAGGAGAGGACAATAGCGCGTTCGTTCCCCGCGATACCTGCTGTCCGCAGTTTTGCAAATATCTCAGCATTATTAAAATGCTAAACACAGTAAAAAAAAACGAGTCTTATTTCTCTGAACTTGAAAGGGTCCCCAATTTCGCAGCGTTGGATAGGACAAGTACGGAGAGGCTGCTAAAATCTCAGGGCCAATGGAAGCTGCCTGGATTTCAAAGAACTATGATGACGACCCGTACCTACAATGCACGTATACTTGTATTTGAGTCTTCGATAGAAGACTTGCCCATACAAGCAAGAAGGATAAAGTACGACGTCATCAGCCTGGCAGAGACGCGAACACGCCAGCCTTTCAACGCCGTCTATGACACCGGAGAAGAACTGTTCCTCGGAACATGCGACAGTAGGTCGGCGTTCTCGTCAACACGAGTTTGTCTATGAGCATCGATTCGTTCGAACAGCTTATACCCGAATCGGACGTTTACGATTAAAAAGATGTGGACCAATTCCGGCTTTGACAATCTTCGTCGTTTACGCGCAAACAGCGAACCGTGACTAAGAAGAAGTCGAAGCGTTCTATATGGATTTAGGAAAGTACTACAGAGATGCCCACACATTCTTCAAGATCATCATTGGAAATCTCGACGCCAAGATTAGACCAGGAAGAACTTTTGAAGAACGTCACATTGGGACCCATGGACAAGAATGGAACGAACAGGGTGGGCGGCTTTCTGAGTTTATTATGGCGACCAAGATCATGGGAACTTGCAATTCCAGAAGCCCCACCCTCAGCGCTGGACATGAGAGTCTCCCAATAGAGAGTACCATTACGAAATAGACCACATCTTTGTAAATAGATAGTTTTGTCCAACCGATGTCGCTGTTGTCCCAAAATTCTACACGGAATCAGATCACCGTCTTCTTAGTGCAAGATTCTATTTCTCGCGGAAAGGAGAAAAAGCCGTTAAATTCAAAATCCGAAGTCCCAGAACCACTGTAAACTGGGACTTATTCAATTCATTAGTCGGCCGTTGGGAAGAAGCCGTTGTCGATAACATCGACGAAGAATGCGATTGGCTCATTCAACATCTTCACGTTAGCGCTATGAAGGCTGAGAGTTCGAAAGTCACCAAGAGACGTTTATCTCCAGAAACACTCGAGCTGATACGCAAGCGTGGAATCGCACGAGCTGCGCGCAACCGCGAACTAACGTCCGAATTTGCAAAACAATGCAGGCAAGCGATAAAAGAAGACCTTAGAGAGAGAAGAGCTGCAGTAATGGCCGAAGCTGCAGAAGCTGGGAAGAGCATTCGTAAAGCTCATTGTGCTTCGCTATTTACAAGACCAAGATGATTGCACACCAACGCGCAGACGGAAGAGTTACAGCATCCAGAAAGGCGATGGAGATAATCGCTTAAAAGTGCTACTTAGTTCTCTTCGATAGCCACGTCCACCTCTGGTCATATGAAGTAAAGGAGGATGGATATGTTGTATCACCGATTCTCGCTTCCGAAATCTGACATGCCATTTCGTCGGTTAAAAATCGAACAGCACCAGGTCCTGATAGAATAAGCCAAGAACACCTGAAGAATCTCCCTCCAGTCCTCGTAAATACAGTGGCTCGGCTCTTCACACGTTGCCTGTCTGAATGCAAGGTCCTTACTCAGTGGAAGACCAGCATGACGGTGTTATTGTTGAAGAATGGTGTCCTGCACGATATCAGTAACTATCGCCCATTCTGCTTGCTGTCTATCGACTACAAACTTTTCACTCGACTCTTTCTAAACAGGAGTGACAGAACACTAGACGAAGGATAGTCATGTGAGCAAGCAGGGTTTCGAAAAGGATTTACTGCTATGGACCACATTCACATGATAACAAGGCTCATTGGTGAATCGTGAGAGTCAGAAGGCCTTGATTCAGTTGAGACAGAAGCAGTCTCGGAAACCCTTAATAGTCAAGGTGTCCCTACTCAGTACACAAGGAATCTTCGTGAGCTGCACAAAAATTTCACAACCAAGTTATCACCATTCTACAACGATATTAACATTAGCATCAAAAGAGGAGTTAGACAGGGCGATACCATCTCGCTATAAATTGTTTGCCGCCACTCTGGAAAACGTCTTACCAACAATGGAGTGC